GGCATAACCTTATAATGTTTTCATATATAACATAAAATATACCAAATGTGTTGCTTTTAGATTATCATAAAACCAGTGGTCGACACTTCACAAAATATTGGTGAGGGGGGGGGGGATTTTCAACATGTATCCGGATCAAAGGGGTTTCAGTGTCTAAGGCTCTAAGTTATGCAAATCGTTCAGAACATGAGTCACTTTATGACATGAAGAAAGAGTCCCGAGTTGTGCCATTTGACCGCTCCCACCCCCAGTTTGTCCGCCACTGCGTAAAAACATGTCTAAAATGCATCAAATAGCATTTTTCAGACCCTAAAAATAGAAAAAAATTCCGGGGGGCCATGCCCCCAGACGATTGGACAATAATAGACCCCCACTTGTTTGGAACTGGTAAATCTTTTATTTTGTTAATTTAGTCGTACACTGGGAATGGGAATACCAGTGTTCAACCATAATCCTGGACCATGCAAGTTGTTTCATGGTATTGTATTTACATTTATCATATATTATAAATGTATTGTACATATCTGTCATATATCACCAACCTTAATTAGCTGTGCTTATTGGAGAGTGAAAGGTGCATAACTATATGATATTGTATCAATCGTATGTGCCAAAAATTTATTTTATAGTAAATGGTTCTGAAGACATTGATGTATTACCAAATGGACTTGCCATATTTTCATCAGTAAGTAATCGAGGGTATAAATTTATTTATTTATTTACTTTGCCATCATACTTATACATTCATTGGCTGGGAAACCACAACAGCTTAATTGCCAATTACAGCGGCCCCAAAAATGTGGGGATGCATCTCCCCACTTTTCATGGTCAATTATGCTAAATACCAACATACAAATGTAATACCAACAATGACAAGCAGCAATTTTTACATGTACCAATATGTTAATTAACCAATTGAGTGTCAGCTTAATTAAAGCACTCTCCCCTTCAGACAAGTAAAATCATCTGGCATTGGACATGGTGAAATATAAATTAAATAATAGTTAATTAACTCATTAATTTTTCAATTTTATAGGGACTGCATTATGACATGAACCCCTCTGGAGTTGACCCAGCCATGCATCAGTTTAAAGGAATACTCTATACCTTCGACATGAATAACCCTGAAGCGAAACCCGCACCGCTATCATATGAAAATTTTGATGACTCAGCATTTGTGCCTCATGGAATTGATTTTTACATTGACCCAAAAACTCAAGAAGTCAGCTTGTTTGTAGTGAATCGTGGTGCAGGGCAACATAGTATTGAGATTTTCCATTTCGATCAGGCAAATATGGTGCTAAAACATAGAAAGACAGTTGTTGATGAAAAGATATCTTCTCCAAATGATGTTGTGGCTGTAGGTACGTGTCAGGAAGACTGTGTTTCAGTATTGTAATGTTATTAAAAGTGATGTCATTGACGTAATATCGTGTGGATATTACACCTCTCTAATTAAACCATTAGAAAAGGTTTTTTTGGGAGGGAGGGGGATATTTTCAACCTGCATGAATTTTTCAGCCGTCTGTTTGTGCAGGATCTTAAATGTTTTTTATGCTTTAGAACAGAATTCTTTGCAAGATTTTATTTTCTTTTTTCCCCTTTGCAATCTTTTTTGCTTTTTCTTCATCCCAATTCACATCACATGTGGTCTGTCTTTAACACTTAATTCACATATGGTCTGTCCTTATTTAAACCCATTGAGTTACATTGTGCCCTGATGCGCCCTACTTTTAATATTATTTTACTCTGTCTAACGCCAGACGATTTTACTTGTTGAGGGGAGAGCAGTGTAGCTGGCGCTTAATGGGTCAAAACACACTCAGTTGTGTGATAAGGTTCAAGACGTTCAATTGTAATTAAGCACAGCTTGAACTGTTTGACTTTGTTGTCTAGGACCTGACAGTTTCTACACTACAAATGACCGTTACTTTCATAATTCTTTGTTGGGGATGGTAGAAGGATTTTATCCATTAAAGTTATCAAATGTTGTCTTTTCTGATGGTTTGCATGCAAAGTCTGTGGCAGAACATTTTGGAATGGCAAATGGAATCAACATCGATGCAAGTGGAAAGTAAGTGGACATGCAGATGGATATGTATGAGTCAACTTTGTAAATTATTGCATCCTGCCTGCAGAGTAGAATATTAAGCAAGAACATGTAGGGTGCATTGTGGTTTATAATGGTCATAGTTTATAACGTTTGTTGATATTTTTGTTAATTTAGATACGTTTTTGTCGGGTCTGCCTTTGCAGGCGAGGTGGTGATTTTTGAACGTACTGATAAGAACGATTTGATTGAGCGGCAGGTATGTACATATTTTTGTTAGACATTTTACATGGTTTCATCCTGCAAGTGATTGCTGATATTCCGCCGGGGGAGGGGGAATGCAAATTGCGGGGCATAGTTGGGGGCCTGGGGCATACTCAGTGGTTACGATATGTCATGTGAAAGGTTAATTTCCTTTTAATATTATGTTCAAAAACTAAGCTAGCTGCTCGTTTTTTAAAACACTTTTCTTTGTTTTATATTTAACAATTATTGAATGAGGTTGAGCACGATATGATATGAAGAATTATGAAGAATTAACGGCAAACTCATGAGGGCTTGATAATTCTTCATATTGTGCGAAAACCGAATTCAATAATTGTTTTATTGTTTATTTAAAAAATTCAAAACAAACATTTGTATTTTATTTGTATTAAGAAAAAAACTGTTCCTTAGTCCTTCGGCAGCTGTCGTCATATCAATGGCGTCAGCGAGTCAATATGATTCTCGTCGTCATAGACATAGTACTATTAATATGGCGCAAACACGTCCAAATTTTTTCATATTGACTCTTTGACGTCATTTTGCTAATATGAATGTGACCAGGTTGTGCTGGACGTCGCTAAGGCATCAACATGGGGGGGGGGGGTTGTCATGTTTTGACCAACATTTAATAGAATTTTGACCAAGTCGTAAAAAATTTCCCCGGACTAATATAAGCATATTTAACAATTTTTCAACCAAAATAAGCAAGGCTTGCCACTTTTTCACCACAATTTACCGACTTTGAGTTTGACCTGAAATTTTAAGCAAATATCAGTTCCATTTTGACGAACTTTGAGCAAATACTGAGTTCCATTTTGACCAACTTTGACCAACGTTTCAATTATTGGGTGTTACACCCCCCCCCCCCCCACACACACACACACCCATCGTCACTCCTCTATCTTTCTTCCTAGCGAATCAATGCAGGTGTAGCATTGGACAACATCGATGTTGATGAAAACGGCGATCTGTGGCTTGGAGTGGCAAACTTTGGTATTCTTGATTACAGCTCAAACTTTACCAAACCTTGTCCGGGCGCTGTGTTACAAGTGAAATTAAGTAAGGTTGAAGGCAGCAAAGAACCTTTTAAAGTTGACGACATTCGTGAAGTGTTTGCAAATAGTGGAACTGGGGAATTCAAGTGCGTTTCATCTGCCTTGTTTCATCGTGGGAAGCTGCTGATTGGCAATCCTTTCAGTAATTTGATGTACTGTGATGTGGTTGCTTACTAAACCCACAGTTTTAATGCAATTAGTTATTAGGGCACATGAATATTGACATGTACGTGATAAACATGCTGCATGATAACTGCATGAAGTTGCTTAGATGAGGGTCAAACATTGTCATCCATTGTCAACTAGAATCTTAGTGTAATATTTTGATTTTGAATGAATGGAAAGAAAATAAAGTGCAACCATAAATAACTTTTCAGCCTTAATTGCAAACCTGCAGGGTGCGATAATTCGCGTACTTTATGTACCGGAGGTACGCCAATATTACTGTCTGGTACTTCTTTGTTTTCAGCCTCGTACCACGTAGGTACGCGGAACTCTTGTTATCTGCGTACTTACTTTTTGCTGGTACCACACGACCTTTCCAAGTGCAAGATATTCAATACCGTAATTTAGTTGGTATATCATGTGTCTGAGATGTCTTGGCATGAAACATGATTGCACTGATGGCACTAAGAAACGTTGGAGTCGGTTGTTTGAAATAGCAAAACTCCGTTTCTAAATAGCAAAACACCCTTTTCAAATAGCAAAACCCCTTTTCAAATAGCAAAACTCCCTTTTCAAATAGCAAAAGTCCCTTTTCAAATAGCAAAACACCCTTTTCAAATAGCAAAACTCCCTTTTCAAATAGCAAAACACCCTTTTCAAATAGCAAAACACCCTTTTCAAATAGCAAAACTCCCTTTTCAAACAGCAAAACTCCCTTTTCAAATAGCAAAAATCCCTTTTCAAATAGCAAAACTTCCTTTTCAAATAGCAAAACTCCCTTTTCAAATAGCAAAACTCCCTTTTCAAATAGCAAAACTCCCTTTTCATATAGCAAAACTCCCTTTTCAAATAGCAAAACTCCGATCCCTTTTCAAATAGCAAAACTCCCTTTTCATATAGCAAAACTCCGTTTGCTATCTCGTAGTCTGAACATACTTTTCAGAAACCTGTACTTTATGAGCCTTATTTTTAAAGACTAAGTACACATTGAGCATTGAGTACCGAGTTTGTTCTAGCGCAAGTACGGCGCGGCAACAACCATTGGCGTACCAGTCAGGTACGACTAGAAATCTTGAATGATCGCATCCTGAACCTTGTTATGAACATTCCTCTGGAAGGAATTGAAACTGCAGCCATGCAATTGACCATTTGCGTAATAGACAAAATTTTGATTTAAACAAGTCTGGACAAAAATTTTATCACAGCTTGAAAGAGCATCACAAAGTTAGTGATATTCCAAAGTTTCGTTGCGAAACGTTGTAAAATGCGGATCCACGAAGTTTGCAATTTTCAGTCATTTTAGATTACAAACGGAAAAGTGTAACGTATCGGGCTGTCAATTTCCCGTTTGTAATCTAAAATGACTGAAAATTGCAAACTTCGCAAGGCTATATTATCCGCATTTTACAACATTTTGCAACGAAACTTTGGAATATTACTAATTTTGTGATGCTCTTTCAAGCTGTGATGAAATTTTTGTCTAGATCAAAATTTTGTTTATTACGCAAATGGTCAATTCCGGTGCAGCGCTGTAAGGCCAATGAAAATTGATATCATGTTTCTCGTCCCCGCCCGCATGGGATTTATCTGCCGCACGAAAATTTTTCATTATTTTTTGAAAAATAGGCTTAAAAAACACCAAATTCATCTCCAGATCAAAGTCTTATTGCTGCATTCCGCAAGCGCAACTCAAATTGTATCTTTCTAAATATATTACTCGCCAGAATGCCTCTATTTTTCATGTCAGCCCAGGTATGTGTAGAAATATACTGTAGTCAGTGTAGACTGTAGTGTAGGACGTATTGAATTAAAATGAATTATACACTAATTTTTATTACTTCAGATTTTTATGGAGTTTTTTTACTGGGTCAAGGAAATTTTTGACAAGCAGAATTCAAACACAAAAAATAATGAAAAATGAAAAAATCCCGCTCCAAATTTTTGAAAATTGTGGACGAGAAACATGATATCAATTTTCATTGGCCTAACAGGGCTGATAGTGAAGTTATTTCGCTGACCTCAGAATGGTATTTCGTCAAAACTTTTTCAGGGTGTTAGCCAGAAGTAAAAATAAATCTGCGTTTACCTCAAATTGGGAAATTTATTTTAGCCTGAAGCCGGGCATTTCTTTGTGGGTCTGGGGGCATGCGGTTGCCCCCTCTCGATTTTTAAAATTTTTGTGTCTTTGAAATGGCATTTTTCCAGCATTTTGGGAGTAATTTTGAGCAAATGTAGTTGTAAACATGTTTTTAATGGCGGCGTATTAACAACATTGAATTTTTATAACTATTTTTTGGCTGACCCAAATTGGGAAATTGCGACCTCAAGGTAATTGGGAAAACCGCGTTTAACGCGGAATTTTTGACTGTAGCTAATACCCTGTTTTTTCTTCAAGGTTGGTTTAGAAACAAACTTGGAGTAGGGCTGGTTAGGTGTTTGGAATAGGGTTATATAGTACGTGATAGTAAAACCGTTGCTTTGTTTTATGGTTTGTCACTCTGAGGCCAGCGAAATAACCTCTCCCTTTATTTGGTTGCCAATGTATGTACCAACCACTGAGCTATACTATGGTACCAACAGAAGACATATGGTGGTATAGTATTTATTCTGTGGATTTTTCTCAACTGCTCTTGGTTTAAGGTCCAACAAAATATAATTCAGTGATTAGTTATATCGTGTGAGATGTCCAAATTCCTGATAATATGAATTTTTTTTTTTCCGTGTTGGTGTTGTGTACTCAGGTGAATAATATATTTGCGATGTTACTCTGAGTGCATATCCACACCGGGCGAGCTTGAAAAATATGTCCGGCCACGGTGGGATTCGAACCTACGACCTTTGGAATACTAGCCCAATGCTCTTCCAACTGAGCTACGCGGTCAGGACGGTTCGAGTAAGTGATATTTCCGAACAGTATCTAGTTCGTTCAATATTATCAATATCAACTAGGAGTTACTATCGCAAGGAAAATGCTGCCGATATGTACATGTAGGATGTGCTACAAAAAGAGCGTTTTTCACTGTATGTATGATTTATTGTCTTACACATCGTCGTTCCTCAGTTACCTTCGTACAATTATATCTTACATATAATCTTATGAAAAGTATATTTTAATATACTCAACAGTGCGACTTTGATAGTTGACACATAATATAAGTGATAAAATGTGAATATTATTGAATGATTTTGTCACTCGTACAACTTTTAATTTGGCTATTCAAACAATTGATTTAAAATAGTTGAATTTATACTTACTGGGATGTTATTGCTTATTGGGATGTTGAAATTATGTTTGTTTTAAATACATTTAATTGATATTCCATAAATTTATTTTGTATGATTTCATTGTCCTTGACGTTGTTCAAAATCATTTTGTATTGTATTGAAACTGTATGTCTATGACCTATGTTATGTACTATATTAACCCATTGAGTCGCATTGCACCCTGATGCACCCTACTTTGAACAGTATTTTACTCTGTCTAACGCCAGACGATTTTACTCGTCAAGGGGAGAGTGCTGGCGCTTAATGGGTTAACTGATCTATCTGCCCATGTGTCTAGCTAACCCATTGGGTCGCATTGCACCCCGATGCACCCTACTCTGAACAGTATTTTACTCTGTCTAACGCCAGACGATTTTACTCGTCAAGAGGAGAGTGCTGGCGCTTAATGGGTTAACTGATCTATCTGCCCATGTGTCTAGTTAACCCATTGGGTCGCATTGCACCCTGATGCACCCTACTTTAGTATTTTACTCTGTCTAATGCCAGAGTATTTTACTCTGTCTAACGCCAGACGATTTTACTCATCAAGGGGAGAGCGCTGGCACTTAATGGATTAACACGCCCGAAATCTGTACTAAAACTGCTAATTCTGTTTTGTGATTGGCACAGTTTAATCAAAGAATCCTCCCGTTGAACCAGAGCCTTCACGATATTTCAATTTATTATTAACTGAAGGCTCTGGAATCCAGGATAGCTTGCCATTGAATACAGTGCAATGCTTATATTTCTGAATGAATAAGATCATACTCAGAACAGTCAGAACTGCAAAACTATATTGTTAGAAAGAAGTTGAAGTTGTGAGCATTATTGTGGTAACACAGCCATATGTATATCAACGTATGTCAGTAGAATCATGTTTATAGGCTTTATATATACCTAAGGCAGTCTTATACAAGTCATATCTTATACAAAAGTCAGTTGATATGCTACATTACATGTAATTGCTGATAAGTCCATATATGCAGACAACAATCCACACTGGGTAGCTCTAGGAATCTTGTTAAGCCTGTTTTAACAACATCCCGCGTTTGTTTTTAAACTATAAACATCTAGAAATAGAACGTACTGAATACTACAGTATTATACACTCACCGCCTTTGGCTTTGCACATATTAAGTAACATAACAAACAAATAAACTAAAAGTTCATTTGCTTCTTGTATCAGCATATTAAAGGCATTAATCATTACTGTCGATTTGGTCGGGAATAGATCAGTGATTCAGTGGGTATTATAATTGCCGATATATTCTTGAAATCATATTGTTTCAATGCCTCTATATCGAAGTTTAATACACTAAAGTGACTAAACAAGTATAAACAGCAGATTTAAATATAAATGCTTTCATGTATTATAAAATATATCACCAGACAGGTAGACAGGGCACACAGCACGACTACATCACTATACGAGAACGAAATAAAGCCATCCTTACCTGAATTATTCAAAATATTGTCGATCATTCTTGCGCCAGAGACACAAAATAACACCGTGCTTTATTTACCCATTCATCTTCACAAATATTACTCGGAATTTTTATGGAAATTCGCATTATTTTTTGATTTTTATATTTCTGTCCGTTTATAACAGTCGCCATGTTGTGAACAAACCCCCCCGGGAACAAAAAAATAATATCAAAACAGCTAGTTTTGGCCCGTCCGTGGATGACAGAATGACATAAATCGAGATTGTAGCGGCTATAAACTCGGCGGTCACGTGGTAAGCACACCACGTGTAGAGATTAGTGTGCTGCCGAGCTACGCTCGGCAGCAATTACTATTGAACAAACTAGATACTGTTCGGAAATATCACTTACTCGAACCGTCCTGACCGCGTAGCTCAGTTGGAAGAGCATTGGGCTAGTATTCCAAAGGTCGTAGGTTCGAATCCCACCGTGGCCGGGCATATTTTTCAAGCTCGCCCGGTGTGGATATGCACTCAGAGTAACATCGCAAATATATATCCTGATAATCAGTTTTAAGCATTCGGAGTAACGTACATCATCAAATATTTCTGAGTATGTATAAAATTCAAAATTAAAAGAAAACACATATCATAGTTAACCTAGCTTTGATTATATTTCTATCAATTCTAATAAACTGTCCAACAGATAAATATACATTTATTGATTGGAACTAGAATAAATATACTGTTGTCTCTGTTGGATCTCTTTAAATAAGTTCAATAAGGGCATTCCCCCTTGATCATTATTTCTAACTTTTAAATATGTTCAACTTTTTCAAAGAATTTTCTCCACTATGTTACATATAGAGGCCCACCAAGGGGTTATGACCGACAGGCGACATTCCTTAAAAAAGAGGTGACAGACTGTCTAAAAAAGAGTGACAAACGACAGCTTCTGACCGGGAAAAAGCGACAAATTGCAATTTGTGTCATGGGTTAAAAGTGACAGCGACATTTAATACAATAAAACAAGCGACAAAGCAGCTACAAAATTAGTGACAAGCGACCTATAGGTTGTACCCTTGGTGGGCCTCTACATACTTTCTATATAATATTAAGCATCTATAATCTACAGTGGTCAAAGCAAAGTTTGGGTTAATCAGTTAATTTGGCAGAGGTTGAAGTTTCAAATTGTTTTGTCCGCTCAGTAACTGCATGTATGCCACGGAATAACATCTGGTTACTAAATTTAATATCAAGTCATCCTATATATCAATGAAAAATTATTGCTCAATAAATTAATCTATACATCTGTGAATAACGCATTATTAATAAACAGTATTATCAGTCGTATTAGCGGCAGATGAAGGGAGCAATATGCTAACCGCAAATGATTGGCCACCCATGCTTTTCAACTGCCTGTCAATTTCAACTTACACTTTGGCAAGTTGAAACCCACTTAAATTAGTTTGAATTTAGGCAGAACCCTGCTTATCAATTAACCCCTCAAACTCTGCCTTTGACAATCAAAATTGTGTGATACTATAGGCAAAGTAAAATAACAGACTACACCAAAGGCAGGTCACTGTCATCCTGTAGTTCTCGTATATCTTGTTCAGCATCATCATATACATATATCGGTACAATATTATATCGGCTACTGTAATTTTTTGTGCACGGCCTGCACATTAACTTCAAACACTTGATACGAGTTTCTTTTTTATGAAATGCAATCAGACATACTGATAGTACAACCAGTCCTAACACGACTCCGACAATCAATCCAACTTTGTGTATGAAGGGTTGACTCGATGACGTTGTCTTAGGCGGTTTATGGGTGGGGGATGGCGAGGTGGTATTGTTAGTAGGATAGGGCATTGAGGGTGATAAAGGGTGAGAAGTTGAGGGTGATTTAGGGATAATGGTTGATGTTGACCAAATTGATGTGGTGACGGTTGTGGATACACTTGAACTTTTTGGCACTGGGTTGGCTGTTTTAATATGGCTTGCGATCATAATCCTGCTCGATGATGGAGCGACTAGAATTTTGGAACTAACACCAATGTGGGTTTGGTTTATGCCATGTGATATGTGGATTGGCATAGCAACTGTGGTGCCCATACCATTCAAGATAAAGGGTATGGTATGGGTTGGTGTTGGTATGTGGGAGGTAGGGAGGTGGGTTAGATTCATTGCAGTGACTCTGACATGGATGTGGTTGAATAAAATAGTTATATGTAGTAAAATGATTTCTCCAATCCTGATTTTCATCTTGGTCTTAAATCCTGGAAATATATAAATACTGCCAATTTAATTAAGCCCTGTTCAAACAAGTCTAGCTTTTGCCAACATTGCAGAGTTTGCCCGCTCCCCTTCCGAACAGCAGAACTTTCCTCTGTAGGGAGAGTGTGGATCTGTTCTGGAATGAGCCAATATGTATTTACAATATGTACAGACAAATTATGATCGATGAAGACACGTTTCTCTGAGAAGACAAATCAAGCAAGGACATGGTTCATCTTCACAGAAAATCTGTCTATTTGCCACATTAACGTACAAGTGTGTGCTAATGCTGTATTTATAGTACACAGAATGTACAATTTAATGAATTTATCATTGATTATTTTCTATTTGCCCAAAGGGAGCCATAGTTTTTCATTTACTTTACTGAATATGGATTTTGAATGTCACCAAAACAAATTAACTCACAATTTAATATTTTTCTTTATTCATTTCAAACTATGGACCTCTATTGTATTCATTTTTCACTTCTTTCAAGCCACAAAATTGAGACAGATGGCCTGATCGATACTTTATAAAGGCACATCAGATAAGGAAAATTAAAACCTCTCATCAAATGCAATTAAACGTTTTAAACAAAACTAAAAGTTACTTACTTTAAAATAGTGACTTTACTTTTTGTTTTAAAAACATTTGCGATTTCCTTGTGCGTATCTTCACAGAAAAAATTAACACTTAACACTTATGAATGTTAACCCCCCGGAATATTGAAGTAAGTTAAATTTTAAAATTTAAATTGAGGTAAATTTCATTTTTTGAAGCAAATTTTCCGGGGGGATTACTTTGGCGCAGGTTAAAATATATAAAATACAACCCCCCGGAATGTTTAATGTAATTATATTTTCCCAGGGGGGGTATATAATATAAATAGCGCCGTTCAAAAACAACTAAAATGGCGTACGGAAAAGAAGCGATAGTTGATAAACAGGGTTAATTTTGGTGTTTTGGTGGCCGAAACGGTGAATTTACATTGTTTTAAGTGTGGGTACAAAAGAGTTTGTGTGTTTGAAGATGTAGTATTGCAGCGATTACTGAACATGAATTCTGCATGGAAAGTAATGAAATTTGAAAAGTGAAACTGCGTTACTCGGGTTACTGAGGCTCGGCATTTAAAAATGGTAGAAATGTACGCTTGGGGCAAGGCGGCATCTGGCCAGCTAGCTGTAGGAGAAACAGACGAAGAGCTAGTTCATTTGCCAATGCAAGTACCGTATTATGAAGGATTTTCACCGAAAGTAGTAGACATTGCTTGCGGCTCTCAGCATACTGTATTTCTGACCAATGATGGTATGGTTTACACTTGCGGTAGCAACGATTTTGGGCAACTTGGTCATGGTAAAGTTTGCAGGAAACCAGGTAACCAGGAGACATAATTATGAGGAATTATGAATATTTAATAATATAATTAACCTTATCTTTGGAGGGCTTTAGCCCCCTCTTTTTCTGCTATTGCAAAGTTGGTGGGGCTTTCCGTAGCCCCACCCCCCATTCTGCTGCCTGTAATTGTGACGTTTTCCACAAACCGAAACAAACAATTTCTTCCCTCGTAGAAAGGATAGATTCCATTGAAACAATGACTATAAAACAAGTGAGATGTGGACAGGATTTTACATTGGCCCTCAACAATAAAGGCAAGGTTCTCAGTTGGGGTAATAACAGAAGTGGTCAACTTGGGCACCCTGTACTTGACATCATTCAAAGGCCAAGGTAAATGTCGGACTAAGTGAGGGACGATAAGTGGTTATTTATGCAGTAATTGTGTGGGCACACCAATCAGTGATGGTATTTGAGTACTTTAATTATGAGAGAGTGCTTAAGTGTTTCTAAAATGCCATTTCCTGGATTATCATTCTAGAAAGAATTTTCTAAACAATTAGGCCACTCCAAATTAGACTTTGGTCTCTCGTCCTCTGCCCGCATCTCCCAGAATTGGCCACATTATTTGTCTGTTGTTTTCATGATTTGACGTTTATGGCTATAAGAATAGCGAAAATCCACAGTTTTTGAATAATCTATCAAGAAATACATATTTATAATATAATATAATATGTAAAAATCGAAATAAAATTGTTGAAACTTTATATATCATTAAGAGCGTGAATTGTTGTTTTTGTTTGTTTTTACTACGGTAACTGCTGAGCTACACACTTCCATTACAAGTTTTGATTTTTGAATGTAAAAAACTGCTCATAAGCATAAATATAATAGATAAGGTTAATATCCTGGCTTTCATTTCTGCATACAAAAAATAAAAAAAATTGTGTAGAAACGTATGTGGTGGCTGAATGGACATTTAAAACGTGTATCTATTTTATTATGGAATAACGGGTTGTGTTAGATCCTTTCTGACAACATAATGGATGATGGAAATGGACTGACCACCCCTTTACTCTGTCTAACAGCTGACAGTTTTACTTGTCAAGAGGAGAGCATTGCATGACGTTATTTTTTTGTGGATAATAAAAATGGTGTGTGTCTTTGTCAAGTTTGTTTTCTAATTTGCATATTTGAAGGAGCATCAAGCATTTTAATGAAATTCATGTCACTCAAATTAGCTGTGGAATGCAGCATTCATTGGCTCTAGCTACTGGTAGGTCGGAAAATAATTTTCTCTCAAAGTATTAATTTAATTATATTTACTGTTCTATGCATGGTCTGAAGAACTGGTATTAAACTACCTGAAAAAGATATCTTGAACATGGTGGTCCAGTGAAGGTAGTATTCTACAATAAGCTACTGTGGTTTGTATCTGAACTACCTGGAAAAGATATCTCAAATGAAGATATATAACAAACCATCCTAGATTGACTAATACATAATTATGCATATTTCTTTAAAAATTATTTTGTAACAAATTAAACAACCAAATTCATGAACATAACATGAGAAATGCATCAAAACTTCACAAATGTTATAAAAGAACAAATTATGTAAAACACACTCTCTCAAATAAAGGAGTTGATGTATGGAATTTGTTAGAAACAATTAAAACTTAATGAAGTAAACTCCTATAACACCTTTAAAAAGAAAATTAAACAACATTTTTTGCTATAGACAATTACCAATATATAAAACAATATATACTTCTCTAATGTATATAATGACATATACTTTAGTCTATTGTAGCTCAGTCATTGACATTGTAAAATTAAATGCATCTACAACATTACTATTAATTTAATAATTTATATAATACAAACATTCCCACTTCTTTTTCTCTCTTGTAAATATAGTATATATACTTCAAAACTTTCTGATTTTACATATTATGTATTGATTGACTGTAAATAATTGATTATGTGATAAAACAAACAGTAACTAGAGACCTAAAATAAAAAGTCTGTGAAGATTTCTAGTAGGTCTCTAGCCCAACATCTTCAAATTATTGTAATATATTTTAAGTAGATTTTTATACATGGGAAATAAAAGTAACTATCAAAGAATTTGGATACAGTCATCCTAACTCATAAATGTTAAAATTATCTGGTGTTTGGCTGAATCAATTGAAATTTGTGTTGCTTGCTTACATGATGGAAACACTTGCATGGAAACACCCACCCTAAAATCGGGTTGGGGAAATTTTGGCGGGAAGCACATGTGTTGTTGTTGTGAGGAGTCGAAGCGAGTGACTCAGTATCGGGATTTATATGAGATTTATTATGTATTAAACTTTACAGTATTATTATTTTTGTGGGAAATTATTTACGGAGGCTGTTGAGAGTAATTTTCTACAAGTGGCACCTCGACGACGGGATTTTAAGCGAGATTTAAGCGAGATTTTAAGCGAGATTATAAAGTGGAAACATGGAAGCGAAGAAATTGGATACGAAGTTGAAACAATTAAAGCTTACTGTAGATCGAACAGGTACGATTGTCGAATCGAATCAACAAGATTCAATCGAGAGACATTGTGCTACTATCAAATCTATAACAAATAGCATAAACGAAATGCGAGTAGCTGTCGAAGAGATTAAAATACAAGCCGAGACAGACATTACGGAAATTACAACTTGGAACACGGAAATCGACAATAAACTAGCGGAGTCGGATAAAGTCGTCGAAGAACTGAGAACATGGCTTGATCAGCGTCGAAAGGACAAGGATAACGTAGCGAGAGAAGAACAAATTCAATTTGAAACAATGCTTTTCAAAACAAGAATGGAATTCGAGACGAAGTTAGCAAGTGCGAAAGTGGAAACACTGACGATAAATAAAGAGGGGAATTTGCAAGGTGAGTCGCAACAAAGTACATTAGCTAAACTACCGAAGTTAGTTATTTCAAAATTTGGTGGAGATTTTCAAGATTGGCAAAGGTTCTGGGGACAGTTTACAGAAACAGTCGATAAAACTAATATGCCCCCCATCACGAAATTTACCTACCTCTGTGAGTTGCTTGACCCCAAGATAAAGCATGTTATTGATTCATTACCCTTCACTACTGAAGGCTACAACAGGGCAAAATCTATCCTGAAAGATCGCTATGGGAAAGAATCGGAAATTATTAAGTCGTATGTCAAGGATATAATGGATTTGCCATATATTCACGGTGCAAACCCCAAGAAAATTCGAGATTTTAGTGAGCGTCTTAACCATTGTGTGCAAGCACTGCAAACAATGAACAGACTGAGTCAGGTTAACGGCAACGTCGCGATGACGTTGGACAAACTCCCCGGGATTAGGGGGGATCTTGTTCGAACAGACCCTGACTGGGAGAGGTGGACCTTTGTCCAATTATCAGAGGCAGTTCGCCAGTGGGTCAAGAGGAACCCGGTGGACCAAAGTCGTACAGATCGAGATAAAGATCGACAAATCAAATCCTTTCATGCGAAGTCACGTGAATGCGTTTATTGCGGTGACGTAACTCATAAAGCAGGGAACTGCACCAAGATTACTAGTGTGACAGAACGGAAACAAATTCTAGCAAGAAAACGATTATGCTTCAATTGTGCGATTGGAACCCATCGTGCAGCTGAGTGTTCCAGCAAGGGATCCTGTCAAAATTGTGGAAAACGACACCACACTTCCATCTGTGATACATCAAAAGTCGAAGGAAAGGAGCAAGTTATGACTACAAACCAGTCGAGCGAAAGCGTGTTGCCAGTTATTGTTATCAAGGTGAACGGAGTCAAGTGTAGAGCGTTAATCGATACAGGATCTGGGAGCTCATATATTTCAGCGAAACTCGTAGAAGTAGTGAAAGCGAAACCTATTTCGACACAAACAAGGCAAGTTGAAATGCTTATGTCCTCGAAGAGTGTACGCATGGACATATACGAATTGAACACTGAATCCGTTGACGGACAGTACCAAATGCCAGTGAAGTTCATCAAAGTGAATAAACCAGAACTTCTCACTGTTGAAAACCCAAATTACGCTGACCTCATACGAGACAACGCCCATCTGTCTGAGGTGATAATCGCAGACAAAGACACCAAGAGTCAACTTCCTGTGCATGTTATCTTTGGAAGTGGCGAATACGCACGCATCAAGACCGAGACGAAACCTTGTGTGAGAAAGGAAGGTGGCCCAGTCGCGGAGCTGACGAAGATGGGATGGTTCATAATGAGCCCTGGAACAGAGTTCGACCGGAACCGGATGCTGTTGACGCAAACTTCACAAAGTGATTACGAAGGTTTATGTCGAATGGACATTCTTGGACTTGCTGATGCAGCTGAGAATGACCAAACTATCGTGCATGCTGAGTTCAAGGAGCAACTTCACCGTGACAAAGAAGGCTGGTACGAGACAGGGTTACCTTGGCGAGCTAACCATCCAGATTTGCCGAATAACGAACATGGAAGTCTACATCGATTGAGCAAGCTAGAGAAAAGTTTACAGCGAAAGGACTTAACGGTAGCGTATAACGAAGTTATTGAGAGTCAAGTAAAAGAAAATATCGTTGAGAAAGCTCTGTCAAAGCCTCGGGTCAAGAGTTCTATATTCCGCACAAACCGGTTGTGCGAGAAGCGGCATCATCGACAAAGTTACGAGTCGTTTATGACGCGTCAGCACGTGCGTCTCCTGATTCCCCATCCCTCAACGAATGCCTTAACCCCGGACCCCCACTTCTCAATCGACTATGGGATGTTCTAGTCCGACAACGCGTTTATCCAGTTGCAGTAACCGGAGACATTCGCCAAGCATTCTTACAAATACGTGTACGAGAAACCGAACGAGATGCCCTAAGATTCCATTGGCGGTCGGGTGAAGAAGCTGAAATCGAGACATACCGTTTTACGCGGGTTCTGTTTGGTCTTGCCCCTTCTCCGTTTCTCCTCAACGGTGTTCTAGAAGCTCATCTTGACACATGGGAATGGAGATGTCCTGAAGTCGTAGCTGAGCTGAGAAAGAGTCTATATGTCGATGACCTTCTGTCAGGTGGACAAACAACCGAGCAAGCACAACACACGAAGGAAATGGCCAGTGAGATACTTCAAGACGCCACATTCCAACTACACAAGTGGAATTCCAATGTTCCTGAACTGGAAGACAAGACCACAACACAAGCAGAAGACGAGCAGACCTACGCGAAGCAACAATTGAATGTAAACCAACAAGATTCAAAGATACTCGGGCTGAAATGGAATAAGCAACAGGACATTTTGAGTGTAGTAGTCCCCAAAGAAGAGGTTCAACCGACAAAACGTGGAGTACTCGGAAAGCTAGCCAGGATCTACGACCCTCTAGGACTTATCGCACCAGTGACACTCGAAGGTAAACAAATCTACCGAGAAGTCTGTGAATCTCAAAAGGCGTGGGATACCCCATTAAACGAGAACCTTCAACAACGTTGGAAAAAATGGGAGGAAGAAACGCTTGGGGAATATTCAGTACCAAGATCAATCACTCGTCATCAGGAAGAAATCGAAGCTGTAGAGCTACATGCATTTAGTGATGCCTCTATGAAAGGAGTTGGAGCGGCTGTTTATTCGGTGGTTCATCAACCTTCTGGAACCACTCAACAACTTGTAGCAGCGAAAGGTCGTCTTGCCAAGAAAACCTTAACAATACCTAGGCTTGAACTGGTTGGCGCGCACATGGCTACTAACCTGCTTATCAATGTACGAAACGCCCTTGATAATATCCCAACACCACAACTATTCGGGTGGATTGACAGTACAGTTGCCCTACATTGGCTCAAAGGGAACGGTCAGTATAAACAATTCGTGGCGAACAGAGTGGCCAAGATACAGTTACACAAAGAAATCCATTGGAGATATGTGCCCACAAGTGATAACCCCGCTGACCTGGCAAGCAGGGGTGGTCAAATCAAACAGAAAGCGCTTTGGGAGAATGGTCCAAAATGGCTTCAAGACGAGAGTGAGGGGCCAGAAAATTTGGTGACGAAAGCTTCGCCATCCTCAGAGACGGAAGCAAGAGCAACAAAGGAACTATTAAATGTCGTAAATGTCAAGGACGATGCCGACGAATTCGATCGATTACTGGAACGCTTAAACTTAAGACGAGCCTGTAGAGTTGGGGTGTGGATCAAGAGGTTCATACACAACTGCAGAAATAACGATAAAAGGTCCGGACCAATTACGACGGAAGAAGTAATCAGAGAACGCGATTGGTGGATTCGGCGTGTTCAACAACGAGTACAGAAAGAACCACACTATCCAAAGTTGGTGGAAGAGTTAGGATTACGTACTAATGCAGATAATATACTGGTATGTCACGGGAGAATTCAAGGAAAATATCCAATATTCCTTCCAAGAAGCGCGAAGTTTACAGAGAAGTTAGTACAACGAGTACACAGTGAAACGCTTCACGGGGGAGTAAACTTAACTATGGCTGCAGTTAGAGAGCAATTCTGGGTACCTCGGTTGCGAAGCTTAGTCAAAATCGTTCGTAGCAACTGTTATGGGTGCAAGAGATTCCGCGCGTCAGCGATCACTAAACCGGTACCAGGTCAACTACCAGAAGAACGCACCACGGTCGGAGGAGCCTTTGAAGTCATCGGTACAGATTTTGCTGGTCCTATCAGATATAAGCAGAAAGGCAACAAGGAGGGAAAGGCATATTTGGCTATTTTCGCGTGTAGCCTTTCTCGAGCTGTGCATCTAGAGTTATTACCAAATATGGAAACGGAAACGTTCATACCATGTCTTAAGCGATTTATCGCGCGTCGTGGAAGACCACGTATCATTTACTCGGACAATGGTGGAACATTTATTAAAGCCGCAAAATGGATTTCACAGCTACGGAAGGATGAACGACTTCGAGGTCTTCTAGAACGGTACGAGATAACATGGAGGTTCAATTTAAGTCGTGCCCCATGGTGGGGCGGGCAGTTTGAGAGGCTTATTGCAATTGTTAAGTCCGCCATGTACAAAGTAATTGGGAATGGTGTTCTTACTTGGACGGAGCTTAGTGAAGTATTGTTGGATGTCGAAACGCAAATTAATCGTCGACCGCTCAGCTATGTTGAAGATGATCTAGAGTTGCCAACTTTGACACCAGAAACATTCCTATATCAGCGCACGTCTCATTTGCCAGAACAGCAGACTTGGACAATAGCAGAACAAGATA